CATATGAACACAAACAAATGTGCATAATAGCTAAAATAATAGTCTTGATAAAAAAATATATCGGTTCATTCAGATTTGCAATTTTTTTGTAGTTCTTATATGATTATTATCATATATATATATATATATATATATATATAATATGGGAAGGAGATTAAAATCCACAAGTGGTGTTTTAAGGGACCACTCTTAGTGACAAACCTTTAAGCTAAAGCATGTTTTCATGTCTCTCCCTTTCTCCCTAATGGTGTCCATACTCTTAAACTATTAACTAGTATTCAATCACCCATTTTGTATCTCATGGAAACGATCGTTTTCTGCTAAAGAGTATAATGCAGACGTGTCCCCACTTTATTAGTCTCACAATCATCATACAAGAGCATCGTTCTTTATATTGTAATACATATGTGTATGTTGCATACACACCACAATTCTCTCACTTGTGATCAAACAGTTGATCATTATGGCAGGTAAATGAGTTCCCACTACATAGTTGTGAACATTCTTGATATGTACATGTTTTAGAGCGTTTTCACCTTTATGAGGTTCCGTTCTATCTTTATGTTCATTCAGATGATCAAGAAAATATCAAGAGATTTGAACGACAAACAACTCATACCATCGATCGGGCTTTTTGTGAATGATGTGTCTCAGGACCCTTTGTGGGGTAAAATGTGTAGGAATTAGTGAAGAAGTTTGTTGTGGTTGGAGTCTCAAAAAAGGAACCAAAAGTAGGGATAAGTAAATAGAAAGGGAAGTTGAATTATGATTGGATACAAGAAAAAAAAAATCAAACATTTTGCTTTATTGCTCTTTTCTTTTTCTTTGGGTCCATTTCTCTTTTAGAAAACTGTCTTATATAGGCCTACAAACCATCAATTACAGTATTAATTTACAGAGTTATAGCATTATCAGTCATCGAAAGGCAGAAAACAACAAACAGATCTTGTTCAAGATTCGTAAATGATAAACCCACTGAACTGATGAAAGATCGTTCTCAAGCCTAGACAATCTTGGAACACAAAAACAGGGTGTCCCAAGTTCATAAACGCTAGAAGTCCCACATCGGCTAGTCACAATCCATCAAACATGTATATATGTCGGAACAACATCATGCCTATGCTGACTTTTTTAGAGAAATTTAAAGGGGTTTTACATAATCTCTCTCATACTATCAGCGTTGGCGTCTAGCAACAGTTAGAGACTCGACGCGCTCTTTCGCCTCCATTCGTAAGGGCATCCTCTAGCATCCGATTGAAAGGACATGGCAGAAAACTTCATATCAGATATACAACGAGTATTTGTCGATATGTTTTGAAATGAAGTTTAAGATTAGTTTTAGTTGGTAAAATAAATGAAAAAAGGTAAAAGGGTGGATGCACATGGGATGTTTATAAACTCAAATGATGGTATATGAAGTTATAGGTCATGATAGTCCTTAGCCTTTTGCATCTTTCACGGACATGGTGATTGTCTTGTGGAAACACAAAAGAAAAAGAAGAAAACAACAAAAACTTTGCTCTTAAAACAGATGAAATTTTTGTTTTTCTGTTTATTGATGTATATTATGTACCATGATTTATAAGATTTAAATTCAACATATTATAATACATTCAGAGAAGCCTGAGTGCTCTAAGAAAAACAAATTACGAACACGTTCAGGTACAGGTTCTTTTATGAAAGAAAATGTCGTATTTATAAATACAACCTTTGAAAATATATCATTTATAATGAAAGATTGGGTAGTTTTGTAATTTTTATAAATTTTTAAATGTTTTTTAATTTATTTCATTTGCTTTCCTCCCACGTCTTGATCTTGAAGGAACGTGTTTTCCTTTTGTTTCTTTTCATCTCTCTCTTAAAAAAGTTTCGAAAACAAGAGTTTTTCCGTTTATTTTTTAAATATATCATTAAAAAATGAAAGTATTTTCATTTTTTACATGATTTATACCATTTATAATACATGATTTTGTGGATTTTTGTGTGTGTAACTCCAAAACTTAATTCAAACAAAAGTGTGCAGTCTTAGTGCCTCTGACAACAAGTGTGGGTTTTTGTAATTACTTTTACAGCACCACACTATATATATATATATATATATATATATATGCAGAAATTCTTGGATTATTTATGAGTTATATATAAGGGTAGTTCTCATAAAAATCACTTTTTTCATCATCAGATTTGATAAAATAATAAATGATTTGTGGTCACAATTCTGTAATTTCATAGAAATCGATTGGTACGAAAAGGAAGTTCCATATCATCTTTTGAATCAAAACAGATTAACCTAAATTTGATTAGCAGTTGGAGACCGTTCAAAGCGTAACACGTAGCATATTCATCATTAATATGGACGTGTTATTTATCATCAATGTATTATTCATCATGAATGTTCATTTAATTTGTGACATGTGGCATGTTGTGGGTAGTTCTTAGGTCTCTAATGGAACATGAACATCCATATATAGGGTCAGGTTCAGAATTTTTTTTTAAATAAATGAAAAACTGGAAAACCATGAAATAACGGACGAAAAAGCTTATCAATGGATGTCAAATTAACGAGAAAAACATGATCGTTTTTCTTGTGTAATTTATTTCGCTCGAATTTTGTTTATTTTTCTTTCTTTTTTGAATAAAAGATAGGGGATGGAGATTTTCTATTAAAAAAATAATGTTGTAACCGACAAATCAATCAAATCATTAAATCTAACGGTTGATAATGTATTTTTTTAGTTTTTTTATTTATGTAAGGTTTTTCTCTCTCTCTCTCTATATATAGTTGGGTTTGGATATAGTTTTTTATAAGAAGCGTAGGAAGTAATTTGTTAGTGGAAGTTGAAATAAGTTGCATGTTAATTTAGAGAAAAGTTTAAAAAAAAAACTTAAAAAGCTTTTTCATTTTCAATGATGGATCCTTTAACTATTCTTTTTTAATGAGAAAATCATTAAAATTTCGTTAATTTCCTGAATTATTTTTTAAATAAAAAAATTATTAAACTTTTATATTTTAAATGATTAATATTTTGATTTAAAAAAAACCCATCAAACTTTTACTGTAGTTAACCAAATTTTAAAAGTGCGATGATTTATTTATTAAAAGATGTCTAGAGACTTAATCAATCAAAATAAGAAAACTTAATGGTTATTTTATTTGAAAAAGAAAAAATTTAATGGTTTTTTTATTCAAAAAAATAGTTTAAAAACTTAATATTTCAAAATGAGAAAGTTTAATGATTTTTTTATTAAAAAATAACTCAAAGACTTAAATCAGTCAAATAAGATAGAAATTTTCAACTTTTCCAGTTAATTTATTATTATTTATGCGAACTTAAATATTTTCATGTTAACACTCCATGCAAACATTTGTTAATATTCTTTTAATAACCCTCCCACGTTTCTATTAAATTTTGATTTCATATCATACTTTTATTTTTTACAAACCGTGCAAAACATTCTCATTCGTCGATTTTATTGTTTAATCTTATGAAAATTTTTCATTAAATTCTTTAATCTTGTGAAATTGTTTCATATAATACTTTTTTGATCAAGTTGTTTCATATACGGTTATGAAATTGTTTCATATAATACGTAATGAAATTTTAATGAAACTGTTTCATGTATTTCTCTAAAATTAAAATAATGAATATGATAATATCTATGATTAACACCCTCCACAATAAAAATGATTAATCAACATCTCATAATTATAAAAAAATGAACAAAATGAAAAATTATGATTGATTAAATGAGGTTTGTATGGTTTGTACAAATAATGTGGTTTGCAAAATAAACCTCATATATATATATATATATGGTTGGGTTCACGTGATACTAAAGGTTTTTCGTGAGACTCATAAGACCAATTTATGTTCATTGATCAACTTTATAAACTAATGATCTAATAGTCTAAAGTTGCACGGTGACAATTTTGTGATATTGAGAAGTCTCGTGACAATTTTATGATTATGAATGTTCAGATTGTAGATCTAATCCAAGGGTTGAGAATTAGTCTTACGAATCTCATGAAAAACCTTTGGTCTCACATGATCTTAAGTATATATATATATATATATATATATATAGAGAGAGAGAGAGAGAGAGAGAGAGAGAAAGAGTTTGTTTCAAATACAATCCGTCGTATTTGTACAACCAATGCAACCCAATAGATTGAGATATTTATGAAAATGATGAGAGTTCATTTATTATGATTTGAATATTTATGGAAGATGAATATGGTTCATTAATTATGATCAATACTTTATATTAGAAAACAATCAAAACTTCTATAAAATCACATATTAATCAAATGAAATGAACGGTTGAGATTAGGTTGTATTGATTGCACAAATGTCAATAGTTGTATAATAACCAACCCCTCTATCTTTCTTTCTCTCTCTCTCTCTCTATATATATATATATATAAGTATTAATATATATTTGGAGAAAGGTAAAAAGAGAGGATGTATTGATGTGGTCAACATCAACTCCTAAGTAGCATTTGTTTCTTGGCTTGAATCATGGCTGCATAGCTGTATCATATCCAACATTGATTTTCCTTTTTTTTCCTTTTCCTTTTCTTTTTTGTGTTTTTATGTTATAAATTTATTCTTGTGTGGGGATAAATATATATATTCCCATCCAAAGTTTTGGAAAGATTTCAATAATTTACAAAAAATAGGTCCCTTTACTTCTTTATGGCAGCTTTCATTCATCTTTTGTTTTATATTAGTGGAATGTGCCATGTTTCAATAATCACCCCCATCCCCTTTCGGGTCAAATCTACTCGGTTCGGGTCAACCATCTTCCTCATAATCCCTAAACAAATCCGTCATTCACTAACCAAAACCTAGATCTACTTGCCCTGAAACATTAGAAAGAAAAGGGCATCTAAAAAACGAGCCCAATATAAGCTTATCTAGATATTCAAAAACCTTGTTTTTTAAAAATAAAACAGTTGTTTCCATAAAATATATATTTATTTATTTTGCTTTAAAAAAGTAGCAATAGAATGGTGGTGTTGTCAGACAACAAAGGTCCATGCTTTTGATTTGTTATAAGGGGTTTTCCTTTTGCCATCATATTTCTTATGCTTCTCTAGGCAACAAGTAAGGTATAGTATAGTATTCATCAAGTTTGGCATCAATTATCATTCCATACAAATTATGTGAATGTATTTGCCCAACATATAATACAATCATACTCCACTCTTCTTTCCTCATCTTTCTCTAAACACCCTCTTCCAAACTCGACCTGGGGTCGATCTTAAATCGGTACTCTCTTTCGTCTCCCTAAACATACCCTTTTCCAAGATGCCCTTTTTTCTCTGTTTCTTGGTCTTTATTTTGCGAGTTTTGATCTTTTTTGGGGTTTTTTTCCAGGCCAAAGGATTGAACAGTGGAAGCATGGATGAGTTCAATTCGGAAAGATCAAAGCCATGGAACATGTACACGGATTCACCGCATAGCCCGCCACAATCAGGAGGTGACGGCGAAGGTCCGTGGAAGAACTTCGGGACGTCCATGAATGCTATTTCTTTCGGTTTTGTGGCCACAGCGGTTTTGATATCGATGTTCCTTATAATGGCTATATTTGAACATCTCTTCAGACCAAATGCTTCATTCCCGTTGCCTGAACGTGACACTGGTCCCGGGGACTTGAGGCCAATGCACAAGCTTGTAGATCCACAACCACACGTAAGTTCATACAACAACTTCAATGCAATAATGGGTTGTACCATACAATTCATCATTACAGAGGAGTACTAATAAGTTCACGCCCACACGTAAGTTCACACAATGCAATGATGGGTTGTACGTCGTACTATACAACCCATCGTTACTAATGAAGACTAATAACTGTGTTATTATAGCATGGTACAATCGATTAATGCAACTCGTTTGGTTCATTTGTGATAGGTACAATCGACATATGCATCAGATTTTTCAGTATTGATGCCGGGACAAGAATACCCTACCTACATTGCACATTCAACACCTCTACCTTGTTCAAGGGAAGGAGTTCATTGGCCTCCCCATCATCATGTATTTCCTTGATTAGAAGATGATTAGAAACTAGTTCGTGCATCAAATAGTTGTACATAAGCTCAATTTATCGTCTGGAAAAATAGAATACTTATAATTTGAAGTTTGGGCAGATTGAAAAATACATTCTTATTCTGTGTAACGTGTATTTAAAATATCTGTTACGGCAACTTATATGTGATGTCTCAGATATTTAGATTAAAGTATGTTACACAAAATAAGAATAAGACCAAAGCATGTTGTATTTTTATGCATTCTCATATGTAAACCAGTTACCTAAAGGTTTGAGATTTCACATATGATACCAACATGAAGGTTTGAAAGAATGTTACACGAAATAAGAATCAGATTAAAGTACGTTGCATTTTCATACGATTGATCTTTTGTAGTTATACCATAAGATGTAACGTGTTGTTTGTTTATAAATACTTCAAACTTATTTGCATGTTGGTATTAATTACATAAAAAACATGTTTTGTAAGTTCTTTCAGTTTTATCTTGTTACGATGTAGTTCTATCATCACATCTATGGATGCATATAAATTCGATGGGCCGACCACCCCACCTGATAAAATCTGAAGCATAAATTGGTGCCTAAAAGTCTATGAGCCAAGACAATTGGGCTGGAAATTGGGTTAGACTTAAATCAACTGAGCGTCTGAGCCAACCCATTTATGCGACCAGACTTTTTATTTTGCTCGAACTTTTTTCTTGTTGGTATTTTTGTCAATACTATCTATTTCAAAAGAAGATTATAATATCTAGAGTAAACTCTGATTTTGATCCTTGAGGTTTAGTGAAAAGTTTGAAAGTGGGACTTTAACTTTGATAAGTCTAGAAATCATCTTTGTAACCTTGTGGCTATCATTTTGCTCTGAAAGTGTCGTTCTCATTTTGTAAGTTAATTTATTTTTGTGTACACGTTTGGATGACCATAAACTAGCTTATAAACGTTACTCGGAGTACGTTTATAGAGCTTATTGTCACTTTTTTCAATTATAGTCTTCTTTAATATTAATTAATATTTATTGCTATTAATAATAAATAAATATTAATGATTAATAAATATTAAATAAAAATAATTATTACTATATTCAAAAATATTAAATAAAGTAAATTATTAC